TGTGACATTTGGTCCACATGCAGCCTGTAGCGTCTGCACATTTGAGTACAGTATGAACTGCAGCACTAGCACTGAACAGTCCAAATCTATTTTCGCTGCATCTGGGCTTGCCACTGTGTGTTTTGAATATGGCTCGTTGAACACAGTTCTCTTTGCACTGTTGGATCAGTGAAGTCATGGGGCCTCAACATAGCCTGATCGATAGCAGTCTTACTGTCAGTATCTGAATGATCACATGTTTCTGTGTGCTCCCTGCGACTCCGTAATGAAAGGTAAATATTTAATGGCATCTGTTCAATCGTGGCCCACCACCGACTGCCCAGGATGATGCAACGTTATCCATTTTTATCCCACCTCCCTCTGTTTAAATGGTTGGAGTCTGACTGATGAAAGTGGCTCTTTATTTTTTCATTGCAGTTCAGTTCAGGAGATTGTGTGGTAGTTGTAGGCAAGGAATCAAGCTGAGCCAATGCTTGTATGGTGCTTGCTTAGCTTTTCTAATCTACATGGTGCCTTGGTTGCATTGTGAATTACTCATGTTGGGTTGAAGTTTTTGTTTGTCAAGTTAGTCACGTCTACTACGATTCTAGTTTTTAGTCTCTTCGATACAGTTGGAGAATGTTCTTGACCATTAAGTTTAGAACATTCAGCAACTGCAACTTATTTTTGTTTACCCTTGTTTACATGTTGTGATGTTGAGAACTGATGTGGTTGTACAATACCAAGACAAACATTTTGCATGATTATTTTTTGTTTCCCATGACAAAGATTCATTCCATTCATTTGTAAGTTAAGCCTTTTTTGGGGCCATCAAGGTTTTTTTTTTTTTCTTCACTTTTATGACAAATAATCCCATTCTTTCAAAATTATTTGAATCATTAATATATAACATAATATGATATAAAATGAGAATATGTTGAAGGGAAATAAATATAATAAAAGGGACATGGTGAAGAAAACAAATATGAGATGGGAGGAAAAATTATTCTCTTCGTCCCCCAAGAAACGTACACAAGCGTTTTTGCGAGGGAATGCAGAGGTTTTGCAAGCGAATGCAAAGTTTATTATGGAATTTGGAATGCAAACATTTTGCAAGAGAACAAAATGCATTGACGACTTATTTTTTCCTCCCATCTCATATTTTTTCTTCACCATGTCCCCTTAGGGGCTCTGTAGAAATGTGCTAAATTTTTATGAAAATAATGTCACAAAAATTCTAAGTGGTCTTAAAATGTGCTTAACTTTCTTAATGCAATAAATAAATATATAAAGTACACTTTTTTTTTTTTAAGGGCAAAATGTGATCTTGATGTTTTGTGAGATGTAGGCCATTAACATCAGTGGCTTAAGAAAAAATTAGCTTATATGATGCATGGTAAGTTTAACATTCTTGTTGAATAAAATATGCTCCTGCTTGTCTCCCAAAGATGCTTATACAACTGTAAACAAAATAAATGATCGGCCCAATGCAGGAGTCATACATTTTCTTCTTCGAGAAGGACCATCAATAATGGTGTTCTGCATCCCTCAGAGTGAGATTTGACTGGGAACACCAAGAGTTACAGTGAAATGTTTAAAATCGAACTCTCAGATTTACTTTGAGCTAAGAAGAAACATTTCTCACTAGGACCCTAAATGTCAAACACAAAGATGTGTGGTTCTGTTCATGGGGTGTGTTTACTTCAACCTACGCGTTCTGTCACCACATGAGCTAGTGTATACAATGAGTAGAGACTTCATTAATTCAGAGAATTGCAGAAGATTGCAAAACTTCATCAATCTGACATTAATGTACATTTACATTTAAAGTCCCCCCTGTAGTCAATCATTTTATCCCTTAAAACTCATCTTTGATCACCAAAATGATATATTTAAACTTTTTTCCTGTGAAAAAAATGTCTTTGTGCCTTAAAATAGCTTGAACGCAACTCTACATCCTTGATTTATTTAATATCCGCGGTTCCATGAATATACTAATAAGCCCCGCCTCCACTCACTCACACCAGCTCAGAAATTCACACGGCCCACTTACTTAGGTAAACGCTGCACAATGGTATCGCTCTTTACAATGTCGGACACATAACGGTAATTTATATTATTAGCCTTTTGCTTGACCATGTTATCAGACAGCTAATAATGTGTTGCTAATGTTACACAAACTATGTTACCGTTCGCCATCTCAGAGTCAGACAAATTGCTGCCTTCGAACAATCAGCATCCTTAGAAACGCTTTGAACAACTCAGAACGTCAGTAGAGAAAGGCATATAGTTCATCATAACATCATAATATACATCATAATGATATGCTAAAGCCCGCCCGCACGTTGACGTGATTGGTTACAAGGTAGTTTGTGACGTAAAAAACACCAGCGATTTCAAACCGTGTTTTTGAGTCTGTCTTTAGATCACTGCAGTTTTAAAGACAAAATACTTAGCAATGGTGTTGACTTATGATTTTGCACATGGTTTGTCTTAAATCATATTAAAAACACTACAGACGTACGTATAAACAACATTAAAAACTTGATTTTCATCACAGGGGGACTTTAAGACATTTAGTAGATACTCTTATCCAGATTGCACATAAGAAACTGCTGTGGTCAAACATACTATAGGGAAAGTTGTCTTTAAAAACAAACAAGTACTAAGGCTTAAACCTTACACCTTATAAGGTTTTAGCTCTAGTAAAACCCCAATACAAATAAACAAGCCATGTTACTTGTGCATGTCACTTTCAGTCTGGAGTTTGTGTACTGCCTGTGGCTCTGCTGTTATGGCAAGACTTCACACACCTTGCACCTAAGGTTGTGTTTGTGGGGGTTACACCTAGCAAGTCTGGGCAATGCTCCATAACACTGAGACAGTCAAGGTGAGAAATAAAAATACATTTTCAGGTCTCTTCAACTGCTACTGACACAAGAGTTGGTGAGATTTATTGATTCGCTGAAAAAATACATATTATTTCTAATGTTATCCTGTTGAAATTCAGAGGATGTGACAAACTCGGTTGAAAAACCTAGTGAGTTGCCTACATATAAATAATTTTAACCTGTTAGCTCATGTAAACAAAGAATGCTTCAGGGCGCCTGTGTCCTCCCACAGGTTAACAGGTAAAAAAAAAAGCATCTTGTGTGTGCATAATGCACTTTGATAATATCTGTAGTACACATCTTTGGACATCATGGGCACAAAGACTTGAGGGGTCTTTAAAGATACCTTCATTTGACCAATTTGCATCATATGTATCCTTCACAGGAAAGGCAATACGAGAATACATTCTGACTAGCTAAGTGAAATTTAGTCCAAGATGACTAGTGGAGGTCAATCTCAATCTTATAAAAAGTGATTCTTTTACCCATGCAATATTATTGTGGTTTTTTATCTCTGTGTGTGTGTGTGTTACCCTGGTCCCTTGTTAAAAGCCATTCGAATTTTTTCCATTGGCTTTGGGATATTGCTGAAAACAAGCGCTGTGACTAAAAAAGTTTATGATGCTTACACATTTTGTTCATCAAGAAAATCTTGACAAGTTAACACAGCTTTTACGGATTTTAAAACCTAAATACAAATCGCCAGAATAAAAAAAGCTAAAGTTAGGCTATAAACAAGCTATAAACCATGATCACGTGACTTCAGTGTCACAAACACTAAGCATCCGGTAACTCTGGCTGTCTCTATTTAAAATCTTAAAGTTGGAAAGTTTGAGTTAGAATAGTTTGACTATTAGCGTGATGAGGTTTAACGTCCCCGGCACCCTCTGTACCCATTTATTTATTCATTTTCAGACCTTATTTACGCTTCCTTTTACAGTACAGTACTTATGTGTACTTACAGTGTACTTACCTAGAAAGTACTGGCTAATATAAGGTAAGTACATGGGTTGGGGGTAGGTTTAGGGGTAGGTTCAGGGTTATTGAACCAGTAATTATAATTACTATAATAAGTACATAGTAAGTACATAGGTAACAGGACTGTAAAAGGAACCGTTACCAAACCATTAAAAAAATAAAGAAATAAAAAAACTTTTTAACCTTGGCACGATGGAACAGGAAGTTTTTTCTGGGTTTTAGCACTCATCCCTGTAGACAGCAAGGCAGCTTACTAGGTTTTGTGGTCACACTTTAGATAAGGGTCCAATTCTCACTATTAACAAACTATTAACTATGACTTTTGCCCCAATAACCACCTAATTACTGCTTATTAATAGTCAGTAATGTAGTTGTTAAGTTTGGGTATTGAGTATTGAGTAGGATTAAGGGATGTATGGTAATGCATGAATAAAGCTTTATAAGTACTAATAAACAGCCAATATCCTACCGGTTTTGCTATTGAGATTTTCATTAGATTTTCAGTATTCCTAGTATTCCGACAAATAGGATTCATTTCACATTAGGATAATATAATAATTTCACATCATGCATTAACTGCCAAATGCCAAATTCAGTGAAATAATGCTCATTGGGTGGGTTTACAGATATTTGTCTTCGTGTTTGAACCACCACATAAAGGTTTTTAAATATTTGAGACCAATGTGAAGTACTTTAGTCACTCTGTATTGATGATTTGCTTGGTTGCCCATGTTCAAACTGCTCCCCTGAGTGTGCCTGTGAACAAACAACCGTTTTGAGAAGTCTTGTTTTGAGGTGGGCTTCTTGAAAATTGTGTTTACCGGCAGTTTCCTTATTCTTCAATTCAGCTCAATGGCTTTCTCCCCCAGGTGGCAAATTTCAGATGATTTCAAACCACTGTCAATTTCACAATAAATAAATATAAACTTGATGAAAGTGTTTAGATGTCTGCGTAGTCTTGTAAAGTCACTCCAAAGGTTGTATGTTGTGAAATGAGCTGATGGTTGTTTAGTCATCCTGTTTAGCTGATGTTTAGAGTATAATGTCTCTTTTGGTTCTTTACAAAGACTGATTTGGATCAAAGCCATGTTGAATTAGAATATCTTCCCCCCATGCTGGTACATTTATCATTATGTTTTGCTTGTTCTACAGGTCCAGTGGCAGTCATCAGCGGAGAGGAAGACTCTGCAAGCCCTCTTCATCATGTCAACCATGGTATCGTCACACCTTGCTCTCTCGATGCGGGACCTGACGCAGTCGTAATCGGCATGAGTCGCATTCCTGTCATCGAGAACCCTCAGTACTTTCGACATGGCCACAATTGCAACAAACCAACCACCTGTGAGTACATGTCTCACTACTTGTTGATGTGCTTCATTTGGTTCTAAAAATACAATTCAAAGTTGATGTGAAATCAACTTTGATCCCCAGTTTGGGGTCAGAAAGATTTTTTTTTTTTTTAATAAAGCAATTAAAGGAATAGTTCACCCAAAAAATGAAAATGATTCCAAAATTGAATTACTATTCCTCAAGCCATCCTAGGTGTATTTGACTTTCTTCTTTCAGCCGAACACAATCGTAGTTATATTAAATAATATCCTGGCTCTTCCCAGCTTTGTAATGGCAATGAATAGTGCCTGATTTTTTGAAGCTCCAAAAAGCACATACATCCTTCCATCTTAAAAGTAATCCATACGACTCCAATGGGTTAATGAATGCCTTCAGAAGCGAAGCGTTTGGTTTTTGTAAGAAAAATATCCATATTTAACATTTTACAAACTATAATCACTGGCTTCCGGCAACAGCCGTACGCACGTTCACGAGAACGGCAGATCCTCTGACATCTTTCTTTACAACCTATTGTTTTAGACTTCTAAATCGTGACCGGTGTTTTGTTTTTTGTCAATTCTCACCTACATTATATCTCTTCGAAATAATGGTGATGGAAATAATTCCTGTGTTTACGAAAGAACGCTACTCTTGACCTTGTAACTAGACCGCAGTAATGAGCATATCCTCATTATATGGCGCAGTATATGGGTCACTAACAAGATGTTAGAATAAGCACAAAAGAGTAAAAAATAGAGGACTTTTGTACGCCCTGAGCTTGCACTTATTGCAGAGTGCATGGGAACAAATGCCAACTCCATTGTTTGTATAAATGGCCATGAATGAATACGCAGAGCTCCTGCTAAGATTTATGAGACCTTTTATATATTTATTTGCTATTTTTGGGGCCTGTTGTGACCGAAGAGTTGCGCATTGACAATTACTTTTCTTGGAGCAAATGGTGTCTTAGTTTAGACCTTTAATGTAATTAATTGGAACAAATATACTTGTCAAAGTGTTTTTGTTAGCCAAATGTAGAGGTTAAAAGGGGGCCTGACTGATTTATGGCATGTAGTATCGAATATATGGGGACACAGACTTGCACACATCAACACACACACAGTCTATTTATATTCCAGGCACAAAACAGTGGTCTATTCACAGGGTGCACTGACGGCTATGAAAAGGAATCCAAAAGGCAAAGGACAATCACATTTTGCCCTCATGAATAAATTAACTCTTTATGCATAATGGATGGCATAAAATCTTTATAGCTGTAGATACATAACCATCATGGCCGTGCCCATATCAGATGAGTGTGTGATATTTAAATGACAGTTAGCTGCTTAAGAGAGCGTATATTTTTACTTCTCAGACTCCGAGCAACTAGAAAGCTCTTTATGTGTTAGCTGTATAAGCTGAATCATTTATATAAAGATACACCTTATAAAAATGGTCCAAGGTTCAGCTCATGATTTTTTTATAGAGAGAACATAAAATAGAAGAGCGATGTGTTTCAGACCAGTTTCACCCAGTTGATACTGGGTTTACATTTGTAGACATGACTTATCACAATCCACATCTATAAAGAATATGCAGTAATAAAAAAATTCAGTGATCCATAAGAAGGAAATTGAATATATATAGCATACCGGTAAATAAGACAATGTCTTTTTTAGACATTTTCCACTGTGATATTTATCAATGTCGTTATAACATTTGTAATATCTAATATAATTTTATTCTTATTCAATACTTTTAAATATTTAAATATATTATTTAAACACTGACATTTTATTCTGCATGTTTTAATTAATATATTTGTATTGTTTTATTTTACTGTTATACAGTATATGAGAATCTAATATTAGGAAATACACAAGAACTCAAATGTAAAATGTCTGGACACTGTGGTAATTTGTGGGGGGAAATGTATGTCATTAGTCACAATGCAAAGAAAAAATCTTAAAATAGGCTTAATTCTTTATGCTATATAATTTTTGTGTGAAATGTGACTTCATTCATACAACAATTATGAGAATTTAAATTTTTCCTTGCATGATTACGGTTTTATTTGTAGACTTCTGTATTTGAAAGGATGCTGTTGCACGGTTCAAGTAAGCAAGTCCCTTGAGCCATGACATGCTGACTTTTCAGGAATTCAAAAGATGACTGACTCACAAAAGCTATTTTGCAATTACAATTGAGTTCTGCTGCATTTACTTACTTATCTTTTCAAACCAACATGAGTTCATTCCTGAACTACATACTATAGCATCTCAGTTGATGGTTAGCACAGAGTTTTGCTTTACCTATATCCAAGATCCAAGAATAATCTCTAGCATCCCATTTGCACATGGAGACCAAGTGTTGTCTGTTTGAACATTTGTTCACTTTGCATTTTGCCATGTGGACCACATAGAATTATGTTAACATAACACATTTATTTTATTTATTTATTTATTTATATAGAGCAAGGAAAATTATCAATTTTTTAAGGGGCGGCTCCTTTAGGGCTGTTATGATTGGCTGACGTCACTGGATAGGAAACATCATCAACGTCCACTCGCTATTGCATTTAATGCGTTCTTGTTACACAATTTACTATAGTAATAACTATAAATTAGGCATAATTACATGCAACTAGCCCTAAATCAAATCCTAATCCTACCCTAACCCTATAGTAAGTGGGCTACATGTACTCAAATCCATATATAAAACTGTAATTTACAGTTTTGAAAGCATTATGAAATCGTTTACTTTTGTGATGCAGCCGCTGTCAGATCCAATACAGTTGGCTGTTTCATCTTGCCTCACTTACAAAACAAAATGCTCCGAACTAACATATAAACATCCGACGTAATCCGGGACGCCGTTAAAATAAAATCCACTTGTTTCTGATGCTGGGATCCTTCTGAAGTCTGTACAGAGACTCAAATGAGCTGTTTAAACTGGACGTGACAAAGCGAATGTTCTTTCACTCTTCCATTTGTCTTGTTGATGACTGACTCAAGTGCGTGGAGTACGTCAGAAACTGAACCCACATCTCTATACTGTATCCAGTGCAGACAGCGTCAGTGATTTTAATAGGCTGAATATGCTTGTGTGGGTAAATGCCAGCAATTAAGTGACTGAATGCCGAGTGGGCGGAGCCTATGGTGCGATTTAAGTTTGTGACGTCACAGATCCCGCAATATCAAAACGAGCCGTTTTTGGAGCTTGATTAAATAAGTTCTTTGCTCATAATGAAGAGGAAATTTTAAGCTATACAACTTGCAGGGTGTTTTAATGGTACAAAGACCATTGTCAAAAGATAAAGGCAAATTTGATTTCTCATGGCATGGCCCCTTTAATATTGAAATATTTGCTGCTGGGGTTTCTGGCTTAAGTCATGGGAAATACAGCTGGATCACGTGCAATAGACTGAAGATCATTATTCAGGTAGCAGTATTCCTAGAGGAAGTGAGTGCACTAGCATTTACAATGAGCTCCATGTGTTACAAAGGCTATAAATACACGACCGTGACTGTGCATTGCAAATATTTATGATTGTGTGTGTCACATCATGTCCCTCTTATTAAAACAAAAATCATAAATTATAAACACATTTGCCTACATAGCTATAACTTAATATGTTGGAAGTTTAAGCTGTCACATAAGAATTTGTTGCAAGAGCAAAACTGCAATTATATATACAAGAGTGAAACGAATGACCTTCCATTTTAAATAACCTGTCTCAAAGATACAGTTGAGAAGAGTAATTGTTTTATCGTACTCCTGAAATATCCGTCTATTTCTCCCGCTTCATCAGATTAGCGGCAATGGCTGCTGATATTTGTATCCTGCAGTGACCGTGTTTTGTGTCCTGTTCACATTGAACTGCTCAGGACATCTGGAGAAGATATGTCTATGCCAATGTCTCCTGTGTACACCGTCATTGTTCTGGACACAATTACTTCGATTGCATTGTTTCAAGGTAACATTTGATGACAAGCTGAATTTATCAGGCTAAAGTGTGAGAGGACAAAGGCATCCGTTCAGAAAAAGGGCATTGTAAATGAATGCAGGCCAGGTTTAATTGAGCTCTGAATGTGCACACCTTCACAAAGATTTTGATTCAAGCGATCTATTGTTACTACTCATAATTGGACTACCATCTCATCCAGCTTCATTTGAAGTTCAATGAAGGTGGACACCGACACAAACCAGGTGCTTGATAACAACTGATCAGCTATATTTGTGAATAGGTGTTTGTGAGCATTTCTTTTTTTTTATGTTCCTTTTGTAGTTGAAAATTACATTAATTACATTGGTGAATTTCTTTGAGTTTCAGTTCAATTTAATTCTACTTTCAAAAAAATTCAAATGTGCATTAAGTTTTTTATGTAGTCTTTTTCGAGTTGAAAATCACATTAATTGCATTTGTGAATTTCAGTGTATATTTAAATTTTACTTCCTTAAATTAAAATCAGGACTTAAAAAAAAATTCTCAATTTACTTCTAAATGGTGTACGGCCCTGGGGTCTCATTTATAAAACTGTGCGTAGGATCCTTACTAAAAGTGTACGTGCGCCCGAAAGCCAAAAATGGCGTATGCTAAAAAATATTCAGACTTATAAAACCGTTCGTACGCCAGAACCTGCGCAAAATTCACTTTATAAATCCCAGTCAGATATATGGAGCTTACAACGCCTAGTTTTACTATGCATATCCTCATCTGCATATCATTTGCATATGATTATTCATCCACGTGATACCATGTTTAACGATACAAGATATTAAGAAAATATTAAATACGGAAGTGCTGTCACATTAGGCTACATTAATAAAAATCATAAGCCTATCCTTGCCTTGTTTTTGAATAAATAAATCAAATAGTGTAAAATACATTTCAGAGAAAGTTTCTCAATCTCACTGGCCAAATAGTATTTTTAATTTATTATATTTTTAATGGAAACAGATAGATCTTGTGCATTATTTGCACGAAACTATTTTCTCAGACAATCTGCTATTATCATGATAAGCAATTATGTATGTAAAACATTAAAACACAGAATGTCAGAGGAAAAGTGTTCAAAAGCATTGCATCCACAACAAATATTTCTATTTATTGAATATAAAAAAATGTTGTAACTTCTCAGTAATGATTTCATGTAGTTTAAGAGTTTAACTCCATTAATGGGAATGGCGTATTTATTCTAAATGTTTATATCAAAAGTAAAACATAGTTTAAATCATTATTTTATTTATTTAAAGTGTCATTGTGAACATGCACTCTATTTATGATTATGACTCATAATAAAGATTTACGGTTTTACTTCATCTGCCGTTAGATAGGCTATATATGCGTCAGTTTAACTAAACGGCCCAACGCGCTCGCTGGCGCGGACATTTAAGAAGGGATGGATATTTGCTTCAAGTGATAGGCTTGGTGAGTGAAATTATATTTGTATTATCTTTCTGTATATGTATCATTTTCTTTAGATTTTCTGTCTAAAAGTGACCAAAAAGACATTTAACTCCAGCTCATCTTCGGTGTCGCCAAACTGCTCCGTCTCCAAAACGTGCGTACGCACGGCTCAAAGTTTGCTTAAAGGTGGGCACATTCTCCCGTCAAGTTTGTTTTTTATAGATCACAACCTTTGCGTGGAAACTGGCATACGTACGTTTCCAGCCCCGTTTTGTGCGTACGCACGCTTTATAAATGAGACCCCTGGTCCTGATTGATTAACTTTTAAATACTGGCCAAATTGTGAATATGTAAATATGGGTGGTGGTCATGTGTTCATGGCTAAAACACTACAATGAGTCTTTTAGAGTAACCTATTTTTACTGCTGGTTTTGCTATTTGAATGAATGGTTTGCATGGAATAGAGACAAAGTTCTGATTCATGAATGTCAGCGTTTGTCTGCACACACTCTCAAATTTCAAAATATGAACGTTTTCACAAAACTTTCATGACCCCCAGTATATTTGGTTTCCACAGTCCTGTACCTCTTCATGGGTTTGACATTTCATTGGGTAACGTTAGGCAGTTTTGATTTATAAGCTGTTGAATGTTTGATGATCGCGTTAGATCACACGTGCGTAAGTAATGCTTCAATCGCTTGTTTCTGCTTCTTCTTCGCCTGTGTATTGATCCAAAGATTCTGGACACTTTTAGAAGATTCCCCCCGATAGTTTCACGATTGCTTTCCAGTCGCACCATTTGCACCACCCTAAGGAATGCCCTGGTCATAAATCAATGATGGGGAAAGAGTTAATTGACCATTCTTGATGAACAGCACTATTTCTAATCATAGAGTTTTACTGCTGAAAACATGCCTGCTTGTGAGTCTTTCCTAATTTCAACCTTCAGGGATTGATACATGTTCAGTCAGGATGAGGAATAAATGGATGGCAGCGAGTCTCGGGATATTGCCTTTTTAATTCAGAGGCTTTCCACAACAGGATAGGGGTAAATGGGTTGTGGGGGGAGCGGGACTTGCCGGTTGGGTGGGGAGCTGAAGGTTAAGTTAACCCATCCCAAACTCCTACAGCAGGTGCACATGTAATTGTTCGCTTAGAGGACGGGACAAACCCAGCGGACCACTTAATGAAAGAGCGAGTGAATATAAATGAGTTTTTTGGGGACAGGAAAGTGCTCCAGACTTGACCTGATTCTGCTTCAGTCTGCTAGATCCCTGCATCTCAAATCTCCCAGCTTTAATAATGATAGTAGCACCTGATACTGGATGTCTGTCGGTGGCTCAAGTGTCAGTGCGATTTTGTTGCCCTTATGGCAAGGTGTTACATTGAATTGAATCTTTTCCGTTTCAGTGACAGTTTGTCAATAAATTAAATATTTGAATAAACACAACTTTATTCTGATATGATATGTCTTACAAAAGTATTAATTATCCACATTGTAATGTATCAGAAAAATGCTTTTTTCATTATAATGGTAATTATAAAACCACAATACTTGTCTATTAATGCAACAATAACATTTAAAATGGTCAAACACTGATGTACTTGTTGATCATATGCTGTGATGCGTCATTCTCTTTAAATGTTAAACAATAAATGTGCACTAAAAAGTATTATAATGTATTATTGTGCATTATTAATAATCAGACTATATTAACTCTGGTTACAGCTAAAAAGAACATTCGGTTGATTATAATGTCCATTAAAAGGCATTATATTAATGCATTACCTATACACACACACACTTCAAGTAGCATTACCAATTTTTTTAAAATCATTTTCTGCAAGGATCTATAAGTATGTTTACCCAGAACATGTTGATTAATAAAAACAGGATAAGTACAGGACTACTTACGCTCTTTTATTGCAGACCACGCTGCTTTGACTCGGAATGGCATGAACTAATGACAAAAACATAATATTAATTCACAATATCTCGTGTGTGGCTTCACCATAGCAACCACTACAAGTTCACGCAGTCGGAAAAAATCATTTGAGCAAATGTTTTCTTCTTTTTTTTAAACTATAACATCAAACAGGCTATTCAATATGATATGTTCACGTCGTGTGTGAATAATAGTCTATGGTTTCTTTTGTGTGATTCATTCAGAAACCTATATTTACATTAACTCTTCACCTTTATTAATTAAGTGTTGCGTGTAGGCCACTGAGTAGATGTGTTTGATGTGAATTTAAAGAATTAGATATAGAAAAAAAATGTATTTGAGGTCTTTTTTCATGCCTTTTTGTGGTTGAGCATTTTGCTTTTAAGCAACTTTAAATTCACGCAAATAATTGGAAATGACAATGAGAATTGATGGCAAAGCATTACAAGTCCCAGGTGAGTTCCAAACAGATGGCAAAAAGAGACCTTTTACAATTGACTCTCATTTGCATCACACTCGTTTTGTTTTGAAAAAGAGAACTCAGAGGAGACAAAAAAACATGCAGAAAATATCCAGCTGTGACTGTGAGCAGCAATTCTAGAACACCATCTGCACAGGAACTGACCTTTTACACAATGCGAACAACTCACGATTGAAGCCTTTATTTACACTTGTACACGTACGCGTAAACAACACGCACAACGGGCGCATACAGATAACCTGTCACTCATATTTCATTTGGCTCTGTTTTCCGCACTTGTTTTTGCCACCTGTTCCCAAGGGACATTGTCTCTCATGATGATATTATTGGGATAATTGTATGCCTGGACCTTTATCATCATTTTGTTGATCATATATTATAGACATTGATGGGAATCACTGACAGTGCTTCTTTTTTTGTTCATTAAAAAAAAAAGTAATTCCCAACCCTTATGCTGAAAACAAGACTATACAACAACTCATAGTGATCACACCTACAAAAATACACAATAAAAGAACAAGAAGTCCATACTATCATGCTATATCCCCATTCTGCCACCAGATAGCTTTGTGTGTGATAATAGCATACACGTTTGGAATGACATGAGAGTGAGTGAATAATGTATGACTAATATGAATTTTTATTTTTGAATGAACCATTCCCAATGTTGTACTGGCTAACTAAAACTAAAATGTTTTAATTGAAATGAAGCATAAACAAAATACAATAAATATTAAATATTTGATGAAAAACTAAAATAAAATAAGTTTAAAGGGTTCTCCTGTGTTACGCAGCACAACCAATGAGGTTTGTTCTCGCGCGTCAAGCAGGTTCGGTTGAGGTGACTATTTCTTTAAGGCAGTATCCTTTAGCAATCCATTTTCATATTGCTACTCCACTGTGAACAAGTGACCCTGACACACAAAACTTTAATAACCATTATGGTTTTCTCTCTCTTTCTGTATTTCTCTTTCAGATGTGCAGCATATTAAACGAAGGGACATTGTCCTTAAGAGGGAGCTTGGCGAGGGAGCTTTTGGGAAGGTGTTTCTGGCTGAATGTTACAACCTCAGCCCCACCAAAGATAAGATGCTGGTGGCTGTGAAGGTGAGGCATGATTTTGCAGTTAAAAGCACCTTCTTTATGGCTTTACTTTGCTCTGACTTCTCTAAGAATAGATGCACTTCTCCTGTGCACTATATTCCATTACCAGGAATGTGCATTATGAAAGTAAATGCACCTCCCTGGCCTTATTGTGCACAATTCATCTAAAAGTTTGTCTTCAAAATCTTTGATCAAAATGTACAACTTTTTTCTCTGAACCAGCTGTACGTTCAACTAGGTTTTGTCACACCCACTTTTGACAATCCGGATCTGTTCTCAATAAATCCAATCAAGCACCAGTAGATAAAATCAATCTTTTTCTTGTTTAATCTGAAATAATTGTGAATGCCGTTTTTGTTCTTGTTTCTTACTGGTTCGTACCTAATCATTTAATTGTCAGGATCAGTGTTTAGGAAACTACTTTGCAGACTTACAAGTGACTCATTTAACCCCATAAACTGTATCACATTTGACTTTTTTATGGGTACATTTAAACGTACGTTTTTTTTTTTTTTTTTTTTTGTGCACAGATAACAACGCTTTCATTACAATCCCCATTCAAACTGAACAAAAACACTGTATTATTCATGCCAGGCCAGTAGTTTGTAAAGAAACTTTGTAAAGAAACACTACGCGCCTATAGACTGAACATGTAATATGCATGCGTATGACATCACCGTTTTCACAAATTCCACCGTTTCCACCATTTACACGGTGACAATAAGGGTATCGGTTTCAAAAACTTGCACTTTAAAAACCCGTTTTAAAAAATGTGCATTTTCAGGCCCCCCAAAACACCACTGTCTTCTAAAAACTTTGTTGAAAACGGCTGCTCATTTACAAGACAATGGCGTGACGTGTAAATGGCCCCTAAGGCATCTAAATTGTCAACATGGTAAAAACCTGTTGTACACAGTGTAGTAAATTATTCTGTCATCTGATTGATAGTTTATGGCCTTTTAGTATAATTCTAGAAACATCCCTCTTCAGGTCGTGGGTCATGTGCGTTTCTTTTTCTGTGAGAATAACCTAATTTATTTTTAGCAATATTTTAAGATGTAGACTTACATGAGGCTTTCCATGAACATATATGTACATCTCTCAATCATCATTTTATTGCACTGCAATAATTTTTTGCCACCCACAATAAAAACTACAGAGTTTTGATCATAAAACTAAGCATTAAATATATTTTGAATAAGACATTGTTGGGAGATATAGAGGGTCAAATGATATTTATATGCCTTTTATGCAAGTAGTCTGCTATACTGTTAAATATCTCATTGATTTGCATCTCACTTTTTGCCCAAATAAATATAAAAAAGTGTTCACTTGCAACAAGGATCGACATGGTTTGTGTAAAGCACAATGTGTTTAAAATAAAAAACGAAACCGTTAATGAACTTAATGCTTTATTTTGAGGACATTTTGTTTACTTTCTCCACTTGATGTCCAAAATTCAGGTCTTTTTCAAAACCATCTGAGAACTGGCCTAGAATGATTTAAGGTCAATAATATCATTTAACCACTGGAAAGCACTCTCCACATCTGAACTTGCTCTTCTAATTCAATGTACTGCCTCACCAGAGCCCATTGAATCTATTACATCATAAAGATAACTGAAGATACTGTGAAAATGCTTCAGTATCATGGGGATATCTTATGAACCCAGGGCTGTCAGGCCAGTTCCCTCAGTAGAACGCTGCAACAGAAAGACAGCACGGGAGGACTGTGTTGAGTGCATGGCGCTAACACATCCCCTGACAGAATGAGTGCTTCACCATCTGTGTCATATACGCCATTCTCCGTCGATGTCTCCCTCTGCTTGTGTCAGAGAGATCAGGGGAATTCTGTAATTAAAATCAAATTGCATCATGTGCTGTTCAGCCAAAGTTACCATTTAATTGCTAGGAGCAGGACTCACAATGTAAAGGCTAGTAGCGATTTGGAGGGCCTGGAAAATTGTTGTTGTTTTGTCATGCTATATATACTTTGGTAAGGATACCCATCCTACAGATTGCCTGTGACTGAGATGCCAAATATTATCGCATTTCTCAAGTTCATGCTAAAAAGTTTCTGTCAAAGCAAATTTATATAGGTCAGAAAATATACATCAGACATGTTGGTAAAGAATAAAGCATTTCCCAAAATGGTAGATGTGCCATATGCTTTAGGGTAAGCTGGTGTCAGGAAATACAATTATAGTCTCAAAACTCAGATTACCTACCAGGTTAATGGGAATTATACACCCTAGGCCCATTAGAAAAACATGCCTCTAGGCTCTACATTTTTACATTCCAAAAGCATACCTACACATACAATTCCCTGTAGTTTCCAGCTCAAATGCACATTAGAGGTAGTAAAATGGCAACAACTTTTATTCTTTTTCACACAAATTATGATTACAGGGACAGATTATCGATTCAAGACTTATCATTAGCTATACCATAGCAAATATATTGAAAATTGTTAGACTACATTCAAATACCCTCTGCCAGACTGGGTTAATGAAAATGCTAATAATATCCAGCAAAATAAGACATTAGATTGTGATATATTTTTGTGTTTGTGTTAATATTTTATTTGAAATGTAAATTGTTCATTCCCCAATGAACTTAGCCCTTAAGGCTGTGACACACCAAGCTAACGTCTAGCGTCGACAAAGCCGACTGAGTTGTCGCCTCACATTGGCTGCATTTGGGCTAAAAATATCTGCTCTTAGCATGTGCATTCTGCACCTGTGTGTAAGGAAATAACTGTCTATATCAGCAGGTATCAGTGGTCTATATTACTAAAACTAGCCCTACAGCGATGGTCCATGCAGATGATGGTGTGTCATGGCCCTTAAACATGACACTGTTATGCCAAGATGTGTTCCTGAACCACTTTTGTTTTGAGAAGTCATGCTATGGCCTTTTGTTGTACATTTTCATCTCATTTCAGTTCATGGCAGACATCCTGAAATGCAATTAGTCATATTAGTCTAACCTTCATCTCATTTCTCCTTGGCTAGAGGACAACTTGAGTAAAAACGTGGCATCCAACTCTCCCTCGATGCATTTGTTCTTGACTTTACATCTCCTAGAGTAAACACACTTTCTATCTCTCAGACTCTCAAAGATCCAACCCTGACTGCCAGAAAAGACTTTCAACGGGAGGCTGAGCTTCTTACCAACCTGCAGCACGAACACATTGTGATGTTCTACGGCGTGTGTGTGGACGGCGACCCTCTCATCATGGTGTTTGAATACATGAAGCATGGAGACCTCAATAAGTTTCTGAGGTAGTTATTTTTCATTTCATATAAAGAACAATGAATGCTAAAGAACTAAGCTTTGTCTCAAAACTCAGATTACCTACCAGGTTAGCTTTTAATGGGAATTAGGCTCTACCTAAATTTTTACATTCCAAAAGCATACCTACACATACAAGTCACTGTAGTTTCCAGCTCAAATGAACATTAGAGGTAGTAAAATGCCAACAACGTTTATTATTTTTCACTCAAATTATGATTACAGGGACAGATTATAATTTCAAGACATATTTTTGCGCGGTTCCTTACACAATACTATGTTATGATCTTAAAATGCTTTTACCATAGCTAATGATTTGTAAATTAATACATTTTGATGTTTGCATCTCATAACCAGTTTCAGATAAAACTGAAAGTGTTGTGAAACATGCAAGAAGTGACATACAGTAATATATTTTTGCAGAAATGCCGCCACATGCACTCATTTTCAATGACCCTAGGTTGCAATTATAGGTGCAAAGGCTGTCTGAAATTGTATTTAGTAAAAATATTTTAGCTCCTAAGATACCTAATTTTGGCCAAAATATGTTGGATTATCACATGTATCCTCAATGAATCATCTAATTTCATCATGCGCAGCAACAAGCAATGAAAATTTCCATTTAATATGGTGGATGGAGCCAATCCAGAGGAACATTTCATTGCTCACATGTTGCACATGAGACTTAATTGAGTTCTGTTATTGTCTCATATTTCTCTTAAAATCTTTTTCAAATATTAGGCACATAAGGTTGATAATCAGTAAATGATGCAGCTTAATTTCGGTTACAATGCAGTTTATGTAGACAGCTGCCTGTGCAGGCATTCGATATTGAAACAGCTCTCTAGGTTTTCAAACACAAAATTCTTAAGATTCAAAATAGCAGTTTAGGATTGAAGTTCAATGCATGCACGTCGCATGGATTGAGGCCATGCAAATTGTAATTTGCAGGGGAGATCTGTGAAAATATAAAGGCAGACAGAGTTCTGGAGTGAGATGATTGTCTTGTGGGAGCAAAGAGATGGGTGATGATAATAAATTAGTCTTTTGTGTAGTGAGAATTTTTTCTTACACTTATGCAGATGGCCGGACTAGCATTTCAAGAAAAAAAAATGATGAAATTCTTTTCTGAAAAGCTGCAATGATAGAAGTCTGGTTGATTTTTATGGACACTAAAAAGATTTTGCCAGCAGACTCCAGGCTTTATGCAGATGATATGCATGTTGAATTAAAAAGATTTAGCGAGAACTTCATGTAAAGCATACTTGAAAAGTCAGTGTATATAATTTGGGGAACATTGCACAACAGTGTACTGCCTAGTTGTTCAGCAGCTTTGGTTCGGAAAGTTTTTCTTCCTCCATTAATTTGCTCCATAAACATTTAAAAAATAATAAGTTTTAAGTCATGATGTTACCAACAAATACTGGGATGAATCCCAACTTGTGATTCAGCTTAAAGTTGGTTGTTTGGTTCATGACTCCCGAGCTTTGATTAGAATAAAAAAAAGGTAACACTATTTCGATGGTTCACTTTAGACATTTTACTAACCATAAGTAACTTTGCAACTTCCTCTCATTAGAGTATTAGTGGACCGTCTGCTTAATATCTGATCAAACTTATTTTGATGCTTCCCCAACAGACATTCCACTGACTATACTTTGCAGCAACATGTCAACTTATTTTACTAACCCTAACCATAACCTAACAGTCTACTAACAGTTTACTAATACTCTAATGAGAGTTGACAGAGTAGATGCAGAGTTACTTGTAGTTAGTAGTAGAATCTCTAAAGTGGGCCGTTGAAATAAAAAAGTATATAAAAAGAAATAATAAAAAGTCATCAATAGTAGTTCCGTGACCGTGGAGAGCGAAGGTTCGTTTCTCACTGGATTTGTCATCTATAAAGGTTAAAGAAAAAAATTAGCCGGGGTGCCCCTCACAAAAATGTGGGGGAATTTTGTGAGAGCCCTATATCCAAATTGGCTGCCGTCAGCCAAGCTGGAAATTAACCTTTTAATGGTTTTGCCCACAGTGCTGCATAATACATGGTTTCTGAGACTATTTGGGTCAAGAAATTCATAAATGATGTAGATTTATTGATTTGACCTATTTTTGACCTTCAAATTCAAGATGGCCACCAATTTTTGGCTCTTTAAATGTCAATTTTTTTTTACACTTCTCAATTGCATAAAATATCTCTAAAGTTGTCTTCTGCTGTAATTCAACAAAGCATACCTCACTCTCAATCAGTCAGCCCCACGTAAAAAATGATCTGCGAAACTAGTGAATGCCATGCACAAGAAGAATATTCCATTCTCCTTCCATTCCATACATTCCATATTCCATTCTGTAAGTGGGCAGGTCACCAACGAGACCTGCCCATCGTTCAGCTCAAGGCAGAGAATGTGTAAATGTTCAAGGACATTATCCCAATCCTCTGCGCTTTCCACCAACAGATGTCCTACATCTATGCTATCTACAAGAGATTCAAGGGGTCTGGAATGGCAGGCACTCTGGTTACAGCGGGTTGTAGTAGTAGCACTACAGGCGGGTCGTGCGCTGCATCATGCTCTGGAGGGAGGCTCTAATCCATAAACGACTAGCAAAGATTATTGAGCATGAAGAGCTATCAGAGGACATCAAGGAGAATCTCAAGACCCTGCGCACTGCACTAACTGAAACTCAGGAGGCTCTACAGAAAGCTCACAAGGATCTTGAGGAGGATGGTGATGTAAAGGAGCTGATCAACAGAGTTTATGAGAAACCTGGCACAGACATGGGATACTTTTTGGTCTCGTTCCTGGAGATGACCGACCCACTTGTACAATGTCTTGATGCATGTCATGCAAGAAATGGTACAGAGTACCTTTTGTCAACATACAACATGCTGCCTGGACTGATGGCATACGACAACCATTATTATGGAAGGTGGTTGCCAGAATATTGGGCAATGCTCTCTTCGCTGTCAGATGAGAAAATGGTATTCTTCAACATTCACTTCACCCAGTCAATGACCGGGCTACCTTACTCCTGTCAGCCACTCAACCTTTGGATAGAAACAACAATGAATCTGAACTCGAAGCTAAAGCAAGGATGGATTCAGCTTTTACAGAATGAGAAGCAACTGTTCTCAACAACAAGAAATGCAAACAACGTTGCAAGGGTGAAGTCTACTGTGAAGCAGAGCCTCAAGTGTCAGCGGTGCCATAGGAAGCATGTTGAATGCCAGCCAGCAAGGATGAAGAAGGATGAGCAGGCAGTTCAGGACCTGCTGGCATGCATGAAGGATTTTGAAGCTGAGCCCTTTGACATCTCTTTACCTACACTGAGGTCGCTACAGTCTGGCCTGGTCGCCTCACCAGAGTTAGTGTATGACCTAAAGACTGCACTTCCAGATGGCCAAGCTCAGGTTGAAACCTTCCTGCAAGAGTGAGTGCTCACAAAGATCAAGCCTCTCACCGCAACCATCCACAGGAATAAGAGGCGAAATTTCGCTGGAGAAATGATCTGTACACCATTTGGTGCTCATATGAAGGTTGCCCATATGGAGAGATTGGGGCTGGCAACCCTAGTGGACCTTGCAGAGGGATCAGGAAGGATCCAACTTGGGTCAGCCCTTGAGAGGAGAGTGACTCAGGAGTGCCTTTCACTCTACAATGTAAATGGGTCAATCCGCAAGACTATGAAGAGCAAGTATTTAGAGCTCTTCAAGCTAGACCCAGTAAGTGAAAAACCAAGAGACCACGTTAGCCTTGTGGACATGGGGCTGATCTGGCGGCTTGCCACCCCACACCTGAAGACCGTGAGTCTCGGAAGCGGGACGGTTCAGAGTACCACTGGGGAGACTACTTGGATAAAATCTGTGCTATGATCTTCTCACGCCACTCCAACGCATACCTCATCATCCTTGTCAATGACATATATGACCTTCCTTTCAGCATCAAGGATGATGAGCACGATCGTCGGGCAGCAAAACATCCAAAAGGACCCAATGTTTTTTCCAAGCCCGAAGACAGGTTCCCAGGTGCCGCTGAGTTCAACCAACTCATGGTTAATTCCGGAAACAAGGTCAGACTACAGAAACTTGTAAAGGATCAGCTGAAAAGACAAGTGATACAATGCTACAATGCTGCTCTCTGCCTATGCAAAGGTGAGAGCCAGTAAGTACACTGGACCTGTAGTTCTAGACTGCGAGGACACAGATGTGTATGACCAAGCAGCTTACGTCTCGCAGCAAGTCAGAGGTGATCTGCTGATTAAACGCAAGCATGCGTTAATCAACTGCCGTGCCATGCTCTCGGAAGTAGGGATGTCCACGAATATCCGATCTGTAATTATTATTCGAAAAATAAAATACTATTCAATTTTACTACGTTGCTTTGCTGGCCGTTAATGCAGTGAATCCATGATAAATCCCAAGCACTAACTCGCAGTTATAGTTAAATGCACTGGGTGGCGCTGTGGAGCGTGTTTAACATGTGTATGGTATTTCATCACATCATGCCGTCATCTGCCTTGCGAAGTTTGGAATTACTTAGATGAAAATGATATTAAAGGTATTGTAGGTAGGATTTTTATATAAAACTTTTTTCCAAACTTGTTTAAACTTTCTATATATATCAATGCATAATTAAAATGTAAGTACTCTGAAAAAGAAAGTATAAAAATCAAGTGTCTGTAGACCTCTCACGACTGTTTTAAAGACAGCTCATTATTTCCATTCACTCCACCCCCTCCCTTCTGGGCTCCTTCCAAAGTCACGCCCCCAAAACACATGAACTCGCGACTCCGACCGCTGAGCTGAAGACGCATTATTTACCTGAGACGAGCGGAGAGGAAGGAGCGCAGTGCATGTAGTGACATCATGTCAGAATCACATGTAATAAAAACATCTAACTTTATCATTATGAAGATAAACAAATAAGATGTATTTTTGTACTCACTATCAAGCTAGCATATTGATATTGGTAAAGTTTAAAATATATATTTA